AAGACATCCTGATTTTCAGCAGGTCGATGGAAGAGCACGTGCAGCACCTTGAGGAGGTTTTGCAGGTCCTCAAGAAGGCACAACTGCACCTCAACTTAGAGAAATCTGAGTTTGGGAGGGACAGCGTCATCTATCTCGGGCGCCAGTTGTCTGCAGACTGCCTTGTGCCGGAGGCAACCAAGGTTGAGGGCATACGAAAGTGGCCTCAACCGGTGAACGTGCGCGAATTGCGTTCTTTCCTTGGTTTGGCTTCGTATTACTGGAGGTTTGTGCCCAAAGTTTTTGTCATTGCTCACCCACTCTCGAGACTAACAAGCAAAAATGTTACCTATGCGTGGTGTGAGAAATGCGAGACTGCATTCCAAGCCTTGAAAGAGGCTTTGGTAAGTCATCCTGTGCTCCGCATTGCGGATCCCAACCTCACGTTCGTAGTCACTACGGACGCGAGCCAGTATGGGATTGGTGCAGTGCTGCAACAAGATGATGGCGATGGCCTGCGTCCGCTCGAGTATTACAACAAACACATGCCCAGCCACAAGGTAGCTACCTCCACGTATATGTGTGAGCTCTATGCTTTTTCCCGAACCGCTCACACATTGGAAGCACTACCTCTTGGGTCGTCACTTCAAGGTCTACTCAAATCATCAGACCTTGCAGTGGATTAAAACACAAACTGATCTCTCTCCGACGCTGACCCGCTGGTTGCATGACATTGATGTTTACAATTTTGAACTGAAACACAAGAAAGGTTGTTATAACCGTGTTGCTGATGCTTTGTCGCACCATCCTGAGTTTTTGACTTGCCTTGTGGACTCGTATGACCTCCGAAGGAAACTGAAGGAGGATCTGATTGAACACACTGCCAAGGATCCGGACCTTAGTCCCATCCTTGAGCAGCTCAAGGCTGACCCTAGTAGTCGACCTGATTTTCACGAGTGTGAGGGTCTGGTATTCCGCCGGTATGGGAAGTTTGATCGTTTGTGTGTACCCAACCATGCGCCTCTCCCGACTCATTTCTTGGATTTGGCACATGGTCGGAGTGGACACTTCAGCTTTGAGAAGACTCATGGAAGTTTGCAGCAGTTTGATTTGCCTGGAATGAAGGGATCTGCTCATAAATTTATTGTTGAATGTCAAGTCTGTCAAAGAACCAAGGTCCATAGGCATAAGCCTTATGGCCAGCTGAACCTCCCAATCCCTGATGGGCCCGGTGAGTCGGTCTCTATCGATTTCACGGACATTGGGAAGGTGAGAGAGGGAGGACATTCACAAGTCATGGTCATTGTGGATCGTTTTTCCAAATTTTTGAATTTGATTCCTCTACCTCCTCATGCACCAACTGAGCTTGTGATTGAAGAATTTCACCAGCAGTACATTCTGCAATATAGACCCCCGAAAACTTTTGTGAGTGATCGGGACACCAGGTTCATTTGTGCTGATTGGAAGGACTTCACTTCGCAGATCTACTACATTAAACTCAACAAGACTCCTGGTGGACACCCGGAAGCCAATGGATTAGCTGAGGAAATCAACCAGACTGTCATTCAATTACTGCGCGCGTTAATTGTTTCAGATCAGAACACGTGGGACAAGGAGTTACACAAAGTGAAGGGGTTGTACAACAACTCCATTCACTCAGCAAATGGTGTGACACCGAATCAGCTGCAATATGGTTGGCAGTTGTTCAATCCTCTCTTCTATTTGTTCCCCAAATGGTCCCCTGGTCTGACGCGCGGCATGCCTGGCTACAATGCCAAGTATGCACGCCTGCTTAAAGTTGCTATCGCAGCAATGAACAAGCGTCAGCATGCCATGGTCAAACATGCTAACAAGTCGCACAAAGAAGGGAACTTCAAAGGAGGGAGTTATGTCTGGGTCAAAATGTCTGAGTTTTCTGACGAAGAGGGCGTATCACGAAAGCTTCTGCCATTGTACTATGGCCCTTGGCAGGTTCTGAAGGTGATTGGGGATGATTTTGGTCCTTCGTATGTGATTGACGTGCCTCCTCATCTGCGCATATATTCGGTCTTTCACGCTTCAAAACTGTTTCCACATATCGATGACAAGACTTTTCCCTTCCGAGATCCTATGATACCTCGTCCTATCGACAGCGACCATGAGATAGACAGAATTGTTTCCTATGAAGGAAGAGGGAGGAACAGACAGTACAAGGTTCACTTCCTCTATCACCCGTTGAACGAGTTTTTCTGGATCGATCGAAAAGAGCTACCAAAGAATGTTCCACGTGTTGTTAACGCTTACGAACGACAGATCGCTGATGGACAAACTTTTAAGTTTTCTGCAAAACTCACTCCTCACGGTCTTACTAAATCTCTCTTTCTGATCTACACCTACGATGCATTTTGTGCCGACTCTGAATGAGTTCCTCGCTCGAAGGGACCTCGCTCTTGAGAGGGGGGTAGTGTAATGACCCGCCAAAAACACAGACTGAGAACACTGCTGATTTCTGAGATTTGCCGCTGGAATGAATGCCTTGCTGAGATTCCCACATTCTGCTGTGGTTTCCATGTCTGTGTGTGTGTGCGTGCCTGCTGGTTTTCATGCCTGTCTGAGTGCTTGTCGGTTGAGTGTGTGTGTGACCTGCAAGGGTACTTGTTGGTTGAAAGGGCCCGCATGGCCGGTACTTACTTGTGGCCGTGACTTTGAGGGTTGCAACGAGGAAAACACTCAAGTAGCGGGGTAGGCCCGCGACACTTAGAGCAGCGGGGAAAAACACTCAAGTAGTAGGTAGGCCGGTACCACTCAAGTAGTGGTAGAAGTGTCGGGTACTGGAGGCCGAGCAGAAGAAGACAAAAAGTTGNGGAGGCCGAGCAGAAGAAGACAAAAAGTTGGCATTTTTAGAGGCCCAGTAGCGGTAGGTTAGAGGTAGGCCGGTACCAGTCCAAGTAGCCCGGGTCTAGGGCCTGTTCGGACGATAGCAGAGCCTGCAATGATGTTTCCCTCCGAAAGGGAGGGGGTACCGGTTGCTGGGAGGCCGCTCGGCCTAGGAAGTCACCGCCCAAGAGGCCAGTAGGCCGTTATATCTTCCGGAGGAGCAAGTAGCTCCTCCTCATTTGCAGTCTGCAAGGATTGGCGACATGCTGCTGAGCCAGCGCTGCCTGGAGGTGAAGGGCAGCTGGGCGCTCAGCCTGGCTATGGCGAGCAGCCCAGCCTGAGGAGGAAAAAGGGGGCGAAGGAGGAGAGTGGCGAGGTACCTACCTGGCTATGGTGGACACCATCTTCATCACCTTGTTGGGCTTTGCGTCTGGAAGGCCCCAGTTGGGGTAGTGCCGCACCAAGGAAGCTCGAGGCAGAGTCAGGCATGGCGGCTTAGTCAGCAGCGATATAGCTGCTTTGGGTTGTCCTTTGGACAAGAGTGCAGCGCCAAAGCTGCTTTGTGTTGTCCTTTGCACAGAGAGGGGCAGAGCCCTCAGCTGTCCGCCATAGCCTAGGCTTGTTAGATGTGGAAGAAGGGGGGAAGCCTTAGCCACGATGGACCTGTTGTGGTTGTTGTTGTGTCAGCAGTAAGGGGGAACTTCGGATATTGATTTTGGTTCATCCACTCGTTGTTTTTATTATTATTGGGAAGAATAAAATTGGAGAAGCTAAGGAGGAAGAGGAAGGTGGAGAGAGAAGGGGGATTTTTCATTGGTCTTGCTGGTGTACTTCTTCTTCTTCTTCTTTCTTTCTTCTCTGGTTTCTATCTCTTTGCAAGTGCTTTCATTTCTTTCGCAATTGGGTGGCATTGTCTTCCATTGTGAATTTGCACTTTGGGAATGACCAGGATCGTAACAAAGAGCAAAAACAAATTAAAACAAGAAAATTATAAAAACAAAAAAAAACGAATAAATACATCAAGTTGGCGGGTGGTAACCCACCAACCAGGGATCGAGCCCTGCCGGAGTCCATAACGCCATCCCCTCCCTCTAGAAGGCAATGTCTGTCGAAAGTCATGAATGTCTGTCGAAAGTCATGAATGTCTGTCGAAAGTCATGAAAATAATTATGAATCCTGTGAAGGATGGGATGGGGCCGATGACGAGGAAGCAGGAAGAAAAAGGGCGAGAGGTATAATGTGGGTAACAAGGGCTGGGGGAAACAGGGTTTTCCTACTGAGAGGGAACAAAGTTTGCCTACTGTATGAACTACACGGTTAGGAACTGCAGGGGAACAGGGTTGTCCTATTTGGGGGAATAGGGTTGTTGTAGGGTTTTTGTGAGAAAAAATAAACGAAGGAAAATTATTTTGCTGCATTCGGGGGTTGGGGATTCTGAGGATATCGAAGTGAATGGGGTCGGGGGGGAAATCGCTGGCTCTGCAAAATGGTCTGGCGGAGAGCCTTGGAGCAGGTCTTGAAGTAAGTCCAGGTATGGATAGACAAAATGCTGATGATAAACCAGTCTTCAACAGGGTTGCAACATTTAGTGGCGAGGGTTCCAGCTTGAAAGAAATAGTGTAGCAGTCCAATAGATGAAGGTCCAAGTGCAATGGTGCGTCCTGTACACGATCGTGATGAAGTCTGATCCGAACAGCAGGTTACAGACTGATCATGATGTCCATGTCAAGAGTTTTGCTCGAGAAGTCTGCGAGTCCACGTGCTGGCCAATGGTTCAGCATGGTGGCCAACCAGCTGCTTAATCTCCTCGAACAGTGCTGTAGCAGGCCATCGTCCTCGTGCGGTTGCTATTAGATCCTTTATCATCAGCGATGCGCAGGAGCCACAGATAAGGCTTGGACAAGAGAGACAAAGGATGTGGCAGAGGACAGATTGGGGGACGAGCAGAGGCAAGAGCGGATCAGACAGAGAGAGGTCGAGGGGCAGGGGTATTGCTGTGTGCAGGGGATGTGTGTAGAGCAATGAGGCAGGGCTTATGCAGGGTATTTGGGTTTTATACGTAGTATATAGCGAGGATAAAGGGTGAGCACAATCATAGGCATGAACACGTTTCATGTTGTTCTTGAGATTATCGATAGGTTCCCGTGTAATTCGGGTATCCGGTCCATTTGACTTGTATTCAGTGATTGGTTCCGGGTGATCGGATACTTGAGTTGTTCTTCGTCCTATGATAGATTCTACCACAAATTCTGGCCCGGTAGGTAGCATGATTGGTGGTCTAGGATACGGGCGGTCTACAAATTGTGGAGGTGATTCATGGTATTCTTGTCATGGAAGACAGGGTGAACACGGCTCATGTCAGGGGGTAGTTGAAGTTTGTAATTTACAGGGGATGTTTGTTCAATGACGGGGAATGGACCGAGCCACTTGTTTGAGACTTTCTAGGACAAGCTATGTCCGGGTTGAAAGCGTTTGTCGGGGAGCCAAACTTTATCCCCAGCTTTGAATGTGATATCTTGTCTGTGTTTGTTGGTCTTGTTGGCATGTTGTTGTTGCGTTTGTTCAAGGGCGCGTCAGTGGCTTCTATGAGGAGGCGGTTCGTTGTTGCAACCCATTCATTGAGAGAAGGAAAGGGAGTGAATGGGTTGAGTTGCGAAGGGAGCAAAAATTTGAGGGCAAGCGAGGATGGTTTGAGCGCATACCGTTAGCAGATACAATGTGGCCAAGGTATTCTACGCTTGGGGCAGCGAAAGTGCATTCGTTGAGCTTGGCGTAGAACTTTTGGTCTTTGAGGATAAAGAGGACTTGGTGAATTTGCTGAAGGTGAGTGTCGAAGGTGGGACTGAAGACTAGGATATCATCACGATAGACGGCGACACAGACTTCGAGAAGATCGTGAAAAATGTGATTTGTAGTAGACTGGACGGTCGCTGGGGCGTTTGTGAGGCCAAAAGGCATCACAAGGAACTCTAAAATGCCCAAAGCGAGAGTGGAAGGCAGGCTTATGAGTATCCTCTTCGCAAATGCGGATTTGGTGGATGCCATTTCGGAGGTCGATCTTTGTGAAGTACTTGGCTCCACGGAGGTGATCCAGAAGCTCGGAGATGCGAGGCAAGGGGTACTTGTTCTTGATCGTGATCTGGTTGACGGCACGGTAGTTTGTGCACATGCGGAGTTCAGAGGTTCCGCCTTTCTTGACGAAGAGGCAACTTGTACCGAAGGGGGAGGAGCTTGGCTTAATGAATCCTTTTTCAAGGAGTTCATTGAGTTGTCGCTTCATTTCTTCGACCTCGGGAACGAAGAGCTGGTAGGGTGGTCGACATGGAGGAGTGTGACCGGGTTCCAGATCAATGGTATGAGAGACACCTCGATCCGGAGGTAGTCCGGCGGGTAAGCACTTGGGAATGACGTTCGTGAACTCCTCGAGGATAGAGGTAAGAGCGGGGTCGGAAGGGGGGGCTTGGTCGGGTTTGTCCGTCGGAAGCAAGTCCTCGGGACGCTCATAGTCAAGGACAAGACAATAATAGGTAGAGTTGGGGTTGTGACAAGCCATGTGGAGAAACTGGGGGGGAGTGACGGAAGGTTGGGAGGTAGGGTGGGGAAAGTAGGGAATGTCAAGGGTAGAGTTGAGGGGTATGGTGATGCAAAAGAAGGCGAGATGGAATGCGTAGGGCATGAAACGGTCGAGCCAGGGGATTCCCAGGATGATGTCGCACATCAGTCTCATGACATCGAATGAGACCTGACTGCAGAGAGAGCCGACAATCATTGTGGTCTCGGGGAACGGTGAGGTTTACTACGGCGACGGTGTACTTGTCCCGGAGTCGAATGATCGGGGAGTCGTAGCCGGTGGAAGGGAGACAGGCTTTGCGGGCACAAGCGTCGGTGATGAAGTTGTCGGTGGCTCCGATGTCAAGGAGAGCCCGTAACTTGAGTGTAGACGCACCTAGGGAGGCAGCGATGAATTTGAGTTGGAATCGGGAGGAGTCAACGAAGGCGGAGGAGATCATGGTGTTGAGGCGGCGTTGTTCGAGGCTTAACTTAACGAGTCGATCGAGTCGTGCTGGTTCCACAACAAATTGGAGAAGGAGATGGAGGAAGGGTTGGGGAGGAGGGTTGAAGAGCACAAGGTGATGATGATCTCGTATGACGAGGTAGAGGATGGTGCCGTGGAGTAAGGTGCACGCCGAAATCAAGGTTACAGGGTTATGTTGAAGAGGGGCCTGGTCCCGCCGCGGGTGAAGGAGTGGTTGCCGCAGGTTGTCCACGAGTCGAGTGAACTGGCCGCCATTGGGGCAGTTTGTTTGCTGGTGTCCAAGCTGTCGACAACGGAAGCAGCCATTGTTGGCCTACAAAGAGGCACGTTCCTCGGTTATGAGTTTTTTGAGAGGGGGGCTGGGCGGAGGAAGATGGTCGAGCCATGCGGTCCTTGCGTTCAATACCCAAGAATTGGATGGTGTCGAGTTCTTTCGAACTGAGGGACACCAGGGCGGAGGAGTCGGAGATGGTGTTGGGCTCAATGAGAGGGGCTCTGAACTCATTGTCAGAGGGGGATGCTATGGTGGTGCTATTCGTGGACATGTTGTGAAAGCAGCGTAGACGGGAGGTGGTGGGACCACGGACGGGACAAAGAAGGCGATCGTGTTGAAGGGCACAGGTGAGGAGGTCGGTGAAGGACATGGCTGGCTTGTAAGCGAGGGCGGATGCGATGTCCTTTCGGCGGACCCGCTTGAAGCGGGAAATGAAGATGTTGTCCCTGATCTGGTCGGGGGGAATGTTTTGGCGTAGGGTATATACATATTGGAGGAAGCGGTCGGTGGGGCCATTTTGGCGAAGCCTGCAAAACTGGTCGACGTAGTTGTCGATTGTCTTTTGTGGGCGGAAGGTGGCGGAGAGGAGGGAGACCCATTTGAGGAAGGAGAGGGGAGGTAGGCCGACGGAGTGTTGGTTGGCAGATTTGATTATCCACTGTCGATGGGCAGTGTCGACGAGTTTGTTGACGGGCGGTTGAAGGTTTTTTTTTACAAAATGAAGAGGATTTGGAAAAAATGGAGGGGGAAAAAAAGAAGGCATTAACTCGGAATATTGAATTTTTTCAAGAATAATTGATGAAATTAAAGAAAGATATTTTGCAGGAATTTTACAAAATGCAATTAACTTCCCAGTTCACCACCAATGAGCGCACACAATAACACATCATCCACAACTGAGATCGCACAAAGTTCTCACTGGAGGCCAGAGAGATGAAGACTAGGTAAGCGTAGTTTTATAATTCCAACAAATTATCATATGAGCAATGAAGAGTTCCAGTCACAAGCGCTCAATGGCGCAGATCCAAGTAAACTAGTATCTTCATTCAGGTGAGTGTCTCTCCCACCACACTTCTCTATTCTCTCTTGGTCTTCTATTTGTCCACAACCTGCTTGTGTCTTCTCTTTCTATTTCCATGCACTCACACTATCTATACTAAGGACCAACTCTGAATACACCCACCACCGACTCTACTAACTCATCCGAGGTCTAACTCACTCTTTATGTGGTTGTTTGAATCAATTAACTTAGATTCATTGACTTCAGTCAATGAATAACTATCTTGACACCAACTTTGGTTGGATTTAAGCTCGCCAGAGTTCAGATGCAAAAGGCGAATAACGAGAGTTGAACCCATGTTTTCAAATTCACAATAAAATAGCTAAAAGCATGAAAACGGATCCAAGTAACTGATATGCTGCTTGTATTTTTCTCTGTCTAGAACCCCATACCCCTATAATAATAAACATAGGGATTAAAACACTTTCAAAGAACACATAACACATAAAAAAATAGAAGATATGGCATGCAAAACACAACAATCATGAAAGCTTCCAGAACTAAAAAAGCTATCATGTACTCTTTCTTGTAATTTTGAATACTAGACCAACCTACTTACATGCAAATAGGTATTAAGAACGTAGTCAACACCGCAAAGAATAAAGAAATCCCATCTAAACCTATGAAAATTGATATTTGAGTAAGGAAGTCATCGTATTGTTTCAACAAATTGGAATTTAGCTGTAGAATTCTCAAATTGTATCCAAAACGACAGAGTATAAAAAAGTGATTAAACAGGTGCAAAAGGCAATACTTCGTATCAACCGTATTTTCGAGTTAGGAATAAGTAAAACGATGAGGGCCCCTAAACGAGGCCACTTGATAAGACCACTCAGATTGTCAAATAATGGAGCACAAATTTGTAACATATGTGTTTGTTTTTTTTGGGTGGTTTCAACGAGTTTTTAGTTGGTTCTTATGTCTCTACCGAAACCACTCGACCGATTTCATCCACTTGCAATTTGGTGTAATTCTTTGTTCTGTGATAACCCGTCCAAACACGGACTGAAACACACAGCTGATTTCTGAGTTTTGCTCATAGACTGAATGCCCTACTGAGTTCCCCGCCTACTAAGTCTGTGTGTGTGTGCTTGCTGGACTGCATGTCCGTTTGAGTGCTGGTTGGCTTGCGTGTGTGACTGTGCCGTCTGAGTGCTGGTTGGTATGAGTGTGTGTGTGTGGCCCGCCAGGGTACTTGTTCGTTCGTTGGGCCCTCAGGGCCGGTACTTACCTGTGGCCGTGGCTTCGAAGGGTTGCAGCGGGGAAAAAGCACTCAAGTTGCGGGTAGGCCGGTACCACACCCGGCAGGGGGGTAAATATGCAGGTACCGGAGGCCGAGCAGAAGAAGACAAAAGTGGCATTTTTAGAGGCCGGTAGTGTAGGCTAGGTCTAGCGGGTACCAGTTTGAGTCTAGGGCCTGTAGGGGCAATATCAGAGTCTGCAATGATGTTCCCTCCAAAAGAGGAGGTGGTACCGGTTGCTTGGGAAGGCCAGCGGCCTGGAAGTCACCGCCCAAGAGGCAAAGCAGGCCGCTATATCTTCCGGCCGGGCGAAAGACCCAGCCTCTTTTTCGGTGTGCAAGTTTGGCGACACACTGGTGGAGCGCTGGAAGGAGCAGCGCTGGGTTGGAGCTGCGCTGCTGGGGAGGAAGAAGAAGGACTAGAGGGAGGAAGGAGGAGGAAGGAAGGAGGAAGGGGKAGGAGCGCCAGGGGTACTTACCTGGCTATGGTGGCAGCCATCTTCATCACCTTGGTGGGCGTTGCAGCAAGGAGTCCCCAGTCGAGGAGAGCCACACCAAGAAGCTTCAGGGCAGGGTTGGGTATGGCGGCCTGAGTCCGAGCAGCCATAGCTGCTTTTGTGTTATCCTTTGGGCATCGGAGCAAGGCCTAGTAGTCCGCCATAGCCTCAGCCTATGGAAGTGAAGTGAGGGAGGGGCGGCCATGGCTATGGTGGACCTTGAGTGATACGTGCAGTAGAAAAGGGACTCGAACATGATTCTGGACCAGTCATTCAACATTGTATTATTATTTCTTGTATGAATAAGAGAAGGGGGAGATAAGGAGGAGGAGATTGTTGGGCGGAGAAGAAGAGCCTTGTCATTGTCTTTGCTGGTGTACATCTTCTTCTTCTTCTTTCTTACTTCTTCTTCTTCTTCTACTCCTCTCTCTCCTCTCAAGTTCATTCATTTCTTTTTGCAATTGGATGGCATTGTACTTTCCAGTGGATGTGTATCTCGAAATTGGCCAGGGTCATAACAATGGTATCAGAGCGGATTCTACTTGCTGGTGAGAGTTGACTTTGCTGCCCTAACCCTAACCTAAGTGGTTGCGGGCAACACTTAGGGTTAGGGTTGGATGGTTGAGGGAAGTGGGGCAGCGTGGCTGAGGGAAGCTGCCCCCACCTGGTTAGGTCATGTGGGGTCAACATAGACCCGAACCAGGTTGCTTGAGAGTGAGATTAGGGTGGCGAGACATGTTGAGGAGACTTCATGCGGCGATTTGAGAGAGGCGACAGTGAGAGGCACTCGCACCTGGAATCTGAGTCAAGGGAGACACTTGGCAACTTAAGGGCTGCTCTCAAGTAAGGCGAGCTTGAGGGTCAGCGGCCATTCTGCATCAACGGACTGCAAGTTGCTACTTTGTTCTTCAGCATCGACGGGGGATCCGGCGTTGCACTTGGGTGTTGGAGTCAGGCCCTCCTAGGAGATAGGACACTAGTGTAGGGGTAGCGTTAGATGGGTCAGGAGGACCATATGAGAAGGGGGGTGAGTTCTCTTCATCTCGAAGCTCAAGGCCACTCAGGTAAGTGTCGTGCACCTACGGGTGCCCATGTATGTGTGTATGGTATTGATTGTCCTGCTGGGGTACTCTGGGTTTCTTTTCCTACTCCTCTGTCGTCTTGATTGTGTGACTGAATGCATGTGATCTACCTACTCACCTGATGGATGGAAAATGAAGTATCTTGTTATACATGCCTAGTCTGTAGGTTCTGCGAGAAGTTGAAATTTTGTTTTTCAGTGCAGTTGAGACTGAACTGAGTTCAGGTGGGACTCCTCTTGGTTGGGACCTGGTTGAGACCTAAGTGGGACCCTTGGGACCAAGCGGGACCCTTGGTACCCAGCGGGACCGGGCCCAAACAAGGAGAGCCTCTGGATCCAAATCGGTTAGGCATTTACCTCTTGTCTTCTTGGCTGGGATATGAGTTCATTCTTCTTGGATTAGGACACCCACTGCCGAGGGGATCTTGGCTTTGACGTTTCGCATGTCTTCTGATTGCGCCGTCCGTGGCTTGACTCGCACCCTGTACACCACTCAATTCTCCATTGTTGCATTTAGTCACTCGTTGTCTGATTTGCTGTACGGACACGGCACTGGTCAGACTGGACTCGAGAGGACCTCGTATGCAGCCTGATCAGACTGGGTCGCTGGATCAGACCTCTCTTTGAGTTTTGATTGTTTCTTTTGTTGTTCTCTACTTCCAAAGGAAATGCCACTCCGGCTAGGAGTTCTACCTTCTCTTCTCTGAGCTTTATCTATTTTTCTGAGTTCATTTTCGATGCCCGTGGAGACACGCAAGCTGAAAGAAGAAAGAGAGAGGAGGGAGAGAGAACAGGGAGAGAGGGAAAGTGATAGTCTGAGGTGGGCAAGGATTGGGAAAAGGAGTGTTCGTCTAAGCGCGAGGGGGAGTGAACCTCTTGAGAGTCTGATTGATTCTTTTGCTGTCTGGCGACTGTGATCCACCTTCCCACACTGACAGTCCAAAGATGGCCCAGCTAACTTCAATGCAATGGCGGGCCTTGTTAGATGCAGCCGGTGATGTTGAGAAACCACATCTGCAAGCACTCTTGGATGGTGCTATAAATGGGAACTGGAGACAGAGAAGGAGAGGAAGGAGACCCTGCTAAGAAGGCAAGTGGCTCTCCTAGAGACTGTCCCCTCACTGATTGAAGTGCAGTGTGGGGAACAGTTGCAGTCCATACTCACAGCCTTGGTTCAAGTCCGGAATCTTGAGGACCATACCACTCAGATCGCTGAAGTTTTTGCGAAACTGCAGACTCTTCAGGATGATCTGACTGATATGACCCGCAAGTACCATGACTTGACCAAGGAGGTGGCTGACCTGCGACAAGCCCAAGTGGCCAACCCTCTCCCTCTACCCCCTGGATCCGGAGCTGCAATCGGAACTACTTCTGCCCCTCTTACTGTATCTTCTTCTACCTCTTCTTCGAGTGTGATGGCAACTTCCTTAGGATCTGCAGCAGGTGCAGACTCCACTGTTGCTGTAACAAGCAACGAAGCTGGAACTTCTGCAATTGCTGCAGCCCCAGGATCAGAACCAGCTGCTGCTGGTCCTAGCTACGCAGGTCCCTATGTGGACCGGAAGTCGGTTCAAATGCCGTCCAAGTACGACGGCAAGGAAGACATCGAGTCCTGGATCGGCTCCATGCGGGCCTACTTCGAGATCCTGGGGACTCAAACTGAGACCCAGGCGGTGATCATGGGAATGAATGTCGAGTCGGTTGTACGGGGCTTCCTAGAAGTCCAAGCAACGCGGGCTGGGTTTCCAAAGGCTGCACTGACCAAATGGCTAAGGACCACCCCGGTTGCCTCCCTCGAAGAACTCCTTACCTCGGATAAAGTAAAGCACAGCAAGTGGAATGGCTCCATGAAAAACCTGCAGTCCTATCTAAGCAAGTTGTTTGCCACCCCTGGTTTGGAATTGTCCANAAGCACAGCAAGTGGAATGGCTCCATGAAAAACCTGCAGTCCTATCTAAGCAAGTTGTTTGCCACCCCTGGTTTGGAATTGTCCACTCAATCTTGCTTGGATGTGGTCAAGGGCGCGGTCCCAACTAACTTCACTAGTCGCCTGGGCAGGGACTACATTGCATATACGGACTGGCTCACCTTGATGAGGGACATAGTCAGTTTGGAGGCCATGGACCTCGTTAGCACGGCAGGCAGCAAAAAGCCCATGGGCGGCAGACGGTTCAAGGGCAGCAACCGTTTTGCTGTGCATGACCTGCTGGAGGCCGAAGAAGAAGCCGATGCGGGTGACCCCACTCTTGGTGACGACCAAGAACAGGACTCCGATACAGCTTGTTCTTCAGCCCATGAGTCCGACGCAAATAAAGAAGAAGAAAAATTTGCTGCCTTTAAAAAGACTGCCAGCACTAAGGGACCGAATCGGAGTGCCGGAAAAAGCTATGTCCAACTCCCCAAAGGAGTTAAGATCCCGCCTAAACCGGAGGATGCAACTACCAAACCTTGGGCTGACCTCCGGATCACTGAAAATGACTGGCGGGGCAGACTCAAGAAGGGGGTTTGCCTGCATTGCCAAAAGCCAAATCATGAAGTTCAAGACTGTTATAGGCTGCAGGGAAACCAGAATCGGGCGTAGAGTCAGATTTAGCAAACTCTACAGCAGGGGAGTCCGGTTCTGTTGAAAATCAGCTTGTTGGTGGCCTGGCTTGAAGGGGGTTTGCCTGAATGACTTGATGCTGCCACGATATTTATACTTCAGATTGTCGGTGGCCTGGCTTCTTGACCTGGGCCCGGTATGAGCACAGTCCCACTTGACTTGCTAACTAGGCTAGGGTATGATTGGGACTGGACACCGCTGACTAGACGAAGTAGGACTGGGACTGCCCTTTGCTGATTGGACTAGGACTGCCCCACTGACTCAGCTACGGACTGCCTCATACAACCTACAAAGAGTCAGTTTAGACTAGTCTAGAAGGTCCTAGGTTGACGTAGGACTAACCCTTCGGAACGATAGCAACTACGACCTAAGTTGACACTACGATTACTGAAACTAAGGCCTACGGTTCGAGTCCACGCGACCAACTATGTACAACAGTCAAAACACTCGACTAGAAGGTCCTAGGTTGACATAGGACTGACCCTTCGGAACGATTGCAACTACGACCTAAGTTGACACTACGATTACTGAAACTAAGGCCTACGGTTCGAGTCCTCGCGACCAACTATGCACAACAGTCAAAACACTCGACTCTTAAAGGATAGGTCGCAGGTTCAAATATGCAAGGGTCAACGGGTAATGTACAAGGGGAATGGTAGGTCTAGGGATCGAGCCCTAGGATCTGCATCTGTCACGCGACATAGGTGAAACTGTTCACTCCCGCCGGCCTAAATTCGAGGTGCTCCGACAGTATCTTGGTGCAAGGCAGGACATTTACCCTTTCTTGCCCTATTATAGGCATGGACTATGTCGGGAGCGCTCTCTGAAAGCTCAGTTCTTGTGAACGATGGGTCGTCCTTGGGTTCGTGATAAGCCAACCTAACCTTGTAGTGTTTCTGTGGACGGCCTCTTCTTTCAGTTCTGAACACGTCTTCTGCTACTATGCGGTCTATGTCATATGTGCCATCCATGTCTGGCGGGATCATTGATCAACGCGATGGAAACTGTTGACTGGTGACACAAGGCAATAGCTCGGACGCATGGAAGACTGGGTATCTGTGGAGGTGTGGTGGAATTTCTATCGTGTACGAAGGTCCGTCCTCTCCACCTTTAACTTCTAGGACAGGCCATGGCTATATGGGGGTAACAACTTTTGTGAGATGTTCTCTTCTGGGGCGAACTCCTTTGACTTGACGCAAACTAAATCACTTGCCTAGAACTATGATGGGCGACAATGCTTGTTAGCTTGCTCTATCATTTTGTGTTGAGCCTTTCTCAGATTGTCAGTCACTATCACAATTTCCTTCTCATGCTGCAATGCAAAGTCTGTAGTTCCGAGTGGTAGTCTCTGTATTTGGTTTGGATGCAGTCCTTCAAAGGGCCTACGTGGTTAAAAGGACTTGTGTAGCATATTAGGAGAGTGCGACAGGTAGCTAAATGGACGCAATTATTGTAGGCGCTTGCTATTTTGGGAAGCATCTCATCCCAATTAATCTGATCTGGTCGAATATACATCTCGAGTATTTGCTACAGGTTCTTTTTCATTCGCTCAGTCTGATCGTTAGCCTTTGGATGACGGCCAGATGCCATCAACAACTTAGAGCCGTAGACTCTCGTAAGTTCCTGCCATCTCTGACTTGTAAACCGCGTATCTCTATCACTAACTATGGATAGCGGAATATAAGGTTCACTAACCCAGGAATCGAAAAACTTTTCTTTAACTGATTTAGTACGTGCCTCTGAGGGCCAAAGGAACGGAAACTGCCTATTTGCTGAAACGATCTACTACTACCATGACTTGGCTCTTTCCAGGGCTACTCCTAAACCCGGACATCCATGAAATCAATGGACATAGACTCTCCGGGTCCTGAAGGGATAGGCAAGGGTTTGAGAAGGCCTAATGGAGCTCGTGTCGTAGTTTTGTTGCGTTGAAATACATGCAGTAACCCTGTTCGGAAGTAGCTTGGGCCCCAGAACTCAGCCCCATGCAACGCAGATCAAAGTTGGTATGCACTGGGCTGTGTGACCAGGACACGCCCAGGCCTGAGTCTGTCGCGTTTGGCTGTGTGACCAAACGCTCCACCCAGGAAAGTCAAGGTCAAAGTCAACTGTAGAGTCAAAGGTACCGCGCCCAATCCTTGGTTGGATACACTCACTTGTTGTGTGCAGGTACCCAGACAAGCATCCAGGCCGAAGGGAATTCAGTTTCAGGCCAATCTGGGCCTTCATTGCATCAAGATCTGGACGGCTAGAGGTTACAGCATCCGGGGTCCAGACTCCGAGTCAACGCTACTGACTTCACACGTTGACTTCAACGCTGGCTCGACGCTGCGACGTTGTGATTCGGCAAGGCGCTGCTGGTCCGGCATGGTGGCTGGTTTGCACCTGTCTTCTTGGCATGCTAACGTGGCAGCTGCCATGCGCTGTCGCTGATGTGGCCGCTGCCACGTATATCATTGGCTGACGTGGATGCTGCCACATGTTCTTCTGTTTGCTGACGAGGCGAAGCTACGTGACTTGTATTGCTGTTCTGATTATCGTCATTCGGGAGGAGATAGGTACTGTGGAGAGATCGTGGCTACGTACCTTGTTGTCTTCATGTAGACATTGCTCCAGCACTGATGAAGGACTGATTAGACGTGCCACGTGGCACATTGAGGTTACTTCAGATACTCGTTCAGACTATTGACTATTGAGGTGGTGATCGAGGAAGGAGCCCGAAGCAGGAGTGTGCCTTGTATTTATTTCCTCTCCTTTGTCTAATCTCCCTCCTCTCTCCTTCGTCCGTGTATGATTATCTCGTCTCATTCTGTCTGGACACAATTTTGACTATTGGTAATCATCAGCTGGTTGACGTTTATCTGGCTTGCATTGTTGGCGACTGTCTTCACGATCTGGGTTCATTGCAATTTGGTATCGGAGCAGTTCTCCTGACGACGACGATTGTACACATGTGCACGCGCCAGGTGGTGCACAGGTAAGTGTAGTGCACACGTGTGTTGAGTAGGTGATGACGTGGCAAGAGATACGCCGAGGTTGCTGACGCGGCACATACTTCACTGGCGAGAAGACATCACCGAGGTTGTTTCACTGGTGAGAGGAGATCCCAACGAGGTTGCTGACGTGGCAGTAGGGATCGCGACAAGGGATACCGCACGCCAGCCTGGATCGCGACAGTGACGTGGCATATGTTGTGCCGCGTCTGAAGACCTTTTTGCTGATTGCTGATGTGGCACTTCTTATGCTACTGACGCGCGACAAGGTCTATTGCAGATGCTGACGTGACCTTGAGGAAACAGGATTGAACGCTGACGTGGCAAAAAGCAAGTCACCACACTTGTCTTCGTGAAGTGGTGACTGCCTGCTGACGTGGCATTGGTTTCCTTGGCTGACGTGGCATGATCTGATTGGCTGGAACGGCGACGGTATCTCAACGTGACGCGTGGAAGTGGCACGGTGATAGGATCAAAGTACACATTTGCTGACGTGGCATCCCGCTATTGGTTGACTGGACATTTTCAGAGTGCTGACATGCCAGTACATGCTATGTTGGCACTCCAGGGATAACACGTGCCAGGCAGGATTACTGCCAAGTAAGAGAAGCATTCTGAAGACGATGGCGGTACAGCTGACTGAACCGACTATACAACTGTAGTGTCAGCTGTCAGGGAGAGTGCATCATTGCACTTACATCAGGAAGACACAACGGGTTGAAGAAGGTTGCTGAGAAATTGTTTGCTATTGTTGTTGGCATACGTACCCTGTCGTTGCTGTGTTGTGGTGCTTGCGTACTTACTTGTGTGTTGTGTCTGATCACACGGGCCTGACGTGGTACCTGTATAGGACGTCATCACACAGACGAAAGAACAACAATTAGTATATAAGTAGAGATTTGTTACTTCTTATTATTTCTTTTTATTTCTCTGTTCCATTATTGCAAATATTATCTCAAACCTGATTTCCAACATGTTCAGTGTGTGGAAATTACTCTTGCTTCTTTTTCCGATGACATTCTTAGCGGGTGAAGGATCTTCCGATCCCAAGACTAGGAGGCAGGCGGAAAGAAAGAAACAAGAGTTACTGGCTCTATGGAACCAGTTG